TTAAAAATACTCAATTTTTCACAAGTAATTCAACTCATTTACAAACATAACATCATAACTATTTATAAGACACCACTAAGCCTGGTATTGTGGTTCTTAAATGTGTTGCATCGCCACACCCTTCTTATCAGCTAACGTCTTAATGCTAAAACTTTTACATTGCCATAATGTTTGCTAATGTGGATCTATTACTTAGTGAACATTCGCCTCTCTTCCATGATAGAACATGTCCCTTCAAAGTTATAATTATAATGTTGTAGCATTGTTGGCATTCAAGCACTGTGGCACTAAAAACAATAATGACTACAACAACATCAAGCCTTTCTCCCACTACATGGGGTCATCTACATAAATCCTTTTCGCTATTGTGCCATGTTAAAATTCAAATTCTCATTTAAATCTAATAATGAAAGTTCATTTCTAATATTTTCTAACCAAGTCTTTTTACATCTACCTCTACCTTTCTTAATTAAAATCAAATCTAATACCTCAACTTTCCTAATCGGGTCATCGAAAGGCATCTGTTTAATACCAAACCGTCTAAGGTGACTCTCACTAATCTTATCTTCCACTAGAGATACTCTAACCTTATCATGTATAAGCTCATTTTATATCCTTTCTCTATGGGTAAAACCACTCATCCACCTAAGCATCCTCTTCTCTGCAACACATAACTTAGTATTATGCTTCTCTTTTATTAACCAACATTCAACACAATCAAGCATTACACGTCACACATCCATCTTATAGAATTTTCCCTTAAGTTTGAGGTGGTCTTTTCTACCACACAACAAGCCCTATGCATTCTTCCACTTCAATCACCCAACTTGAATTCTGAAGATAATATCCCCATCTATTTCACCATCACTTTAAATAATAGATCAAAAATATCTAAAATGTGTACTCTTATTCATGACTTGATCACCCAAAGTCATAATACCCTTACTAAGTCTATTGCTACGAAAGTTACACTCCAAATATTCAGATTTAGATCTATTCTAGCAAAATTTTTTAGACACAAGGTTGACCTCCATAATTTAAGTTTACCTTCAACTTCCTCTCTAGTCTTATCAACAAGAAAAATATCATTAGTAAAAAGCATAAACAAAGGTACATCCTCTTACAAATGTCAAGTGAGAACATCAATGACTAAAGCAAAAAAGATATGGACTTAAGGCTGATCCTTGATGTAATCAAACCAAAATAGAAAAATAAATGGCCAAACCACCTCGTGTTTGAACACGAGTACTAGCTTCTGCATACATACCTTTAATGATTTGAATATAAGTATTATTAACACCTTTCTTTTCAATAATTCTCCATAGCACTTCTCTTGAAACTTTATCATATGTTTTCTTTAAATAAATAAATATCATATGTAGATCCTTTTTATTCTCTCTATATTTGTCCATCAAAACTCTCAATAAATGTAAGGCTTTCATAGTAGATCTACCCGGCATGAATCCAAATTGATTTTTAGAAACATTAGTATCACGCCGCAACCTATGCTCCATAACTCGCTCACATAATATTAAAGTATGACACATTAACTTAATTTCTCTATTCTTTTCACACTTATGTGCATCTCCACTATTCATAAAAATAGGAATTAACACACTCAATTTCGACCAATCTGGCATCTTTTGTCTTAAAAATAGTATTAAAAAGATTAGTAAGCTAAGAAATTCCTTCATCTCCTAGGCATTTCCACATCTCTATTGGAATATAATCTCATCTAATAGCTTTTCCACACATCATTTTCCTTAAAGCCTATGTAACTTTGGTTTTACTAATACGCTGATAAAAAAAATGTTAATTTTCATTTAACGTGCTAATGTCACTAAATTCAATCTTATTTTGACATTTTTCATTAAAATTTTAGAAAAATGTCTCATCCCCCTTTATTTAATATCATCTTGTAAGAAAAGTACTTTTCTTCTTTTCTTTTATTTTCTTAAATATCTTTTAATTTTTCTTTTTATTTTTGTAGAGTATGTAGTTAATGATTTTAAATATTATTTTTTCTTAGATTCTTCTTACAATCTAAATTATTTTAATGTATGGATTTAAAAAAATTGCATATTCTAAATTCAGGTTGCTATAATTTTCATTCTTATTCATCTTCAATTCAAATGTCAATGTATAAATTTATAACTTATAAATTAAAGTTAAGCTAATAATTTAAATGTTCCAAGTTACTTCAATATTAAATTTTCATTCTAAGAATTATAAAGAAGTTTTCATTTGACCTATGATCTATAGTTTTATTGTTATCCTAATTTTACATAATTTTAATTATCCTTTTATAAGGGTTAGTTAAATAATCAGAATGCATAGATATAAATAAAAGATAATGTAAAAATATAAGCTTAAAGGGAATTTAATCAAATGTAAATAACGAAACAAATAAATATTAGTAAATTTCTTATGCTTTCTAACAAATGGTAGAAAAGTGTAAAACATATGATATATATAAAATTATAATGCAGAGTATAAGATAGCTAGTGCATAAATCACCATTATAACTAATACAATGCTTTGGCTCTCAAAGCCAAAGCTGCAATCATGCTAACAAAATAATAGCACTCCAATATATCACTGGGATCCCTAAAGTAAATAAATAAAAAATAAAAAATAAAAAATATATATATACTTTATAATTAAAGTAGCATATAATATCTCTCCCACTCCTAGAAAAAAAACTCATAATTTGCCAAGTTTGGGTCTTCCTTCTCCTCCTCCTCATCATCATCATCATGGCCTTTCTCACAATGCTTCTAAACAAATGAGTCATAAGTTGGTGCACATGAAAACTTAAGTTAATCAAGATGCCTCATAAAAGGATTACTTCTATAAATTATAACAAGAGAATAATTAATGTCAGTAGTGTATCTATAAGGCTTTTCATGATGATCAATGTTGTGGGCCAACCTTATCCTCGTCTCAAATTACCTATCCTTTGTTTCCTTATAGAAGTGAGTCACCATTTTCATGTTCCCTCTAAAATAAGTCAGCGAATCTCCTAATGTATTAGGAGTTCTAGTGCTCATCTTTTAGACACTCTAGGCTCATTAAAGTCTCCTTCTACCTCTCTCTCGTGTTTCCTAAAGCCCAAAAATTATCTTTTTTTAAGGGCTATAGTTGGAAATAATTATTCTTCAGTTTCCTTACCCCTTATACCTATTGTAACACACAAAGTATAAACTAGAGAAGGGTGCCCTAAGAAAACAAAAGTGGCACACCTAGCGATGTATAGGAGAGAGAAAAAAATAAGTTTCCCTACATCAATGAAATACCCCATTTGAATAGCAAATTTTACCAAAGCATAATCTCATGTAGCTTCACTAATGTTCCCACCAGGTAGTAAAATTATTAAAATGAAAAAGTGTCAGGCTTTAGTAGTTTGGGTCAGGTAGGTGGCCGAGAAATATTTTATTTTATTCTCTCTCATTTTCTAACTCACATTATTATCAGGTCACTAAAGTATATCTAGAACATCTTGAGGATGTATAGGTGTCCCAATAAAAGTAGTATATTCATCAAACTTAAAATATCTTAGTTTAAAAATTTTATTTATTGCCATAGAATTAAAAGGGACACTCTTATGCCAAATATAATATTTATAATCTTCTTCCTCCATAACATTTTAAAAAAAATCTCTAACCACGGTTACAATTGAAGAAAAACCTCTTCACAAAAAATTTCTCAACCACTACTCACAATGATTTGCTTGATTTGGTTGTTTGGATTATGAAAACCCTTCTCAAAAATTAGTTGTTCGGTCACAACTAAATCAAAAAATATTGTTTTTAAATTAACATAAATGAATATGCTCTTATCAAAGGAATAGAAAGGCATCTTATTTCCAATTATTTAGGAGACATAAAGATATATAAGAATGCAATGGAGAAGAGTTTAAAGTAATTGATATGATATGAATGAAATAAAAAATTTAACACCCCATTTTATAAGTCGATGAAGCATTGCAACACCACTAAAAATGGCACCAAAGTGTTAAATATATGAATAAAATAACAAATTGCTAAAGTAATAGGTACTATAGTGGTCAAGGCCTCATGGTGTAGTGTTGTAGGTTTTGGATACTTTTAGTGTTGCTTTGGGTTATCAACTTTGTGGCTTTTGACACTTGTAACATTAATGATGCTTGTGTCAGTAACCATTGTTGTACTGTCAATAAAATAATAATTTAAGCATAATGGTATTGTCATGAAATTTATCAGAGTTGTAGCACTTACCAAAGTTTCATAATTGAATTTATGTCTGTACAACTTATTTGACTTTGCAGAACTACACTTCTATTTAACTTGAATGACTAGGATTTGTAGCGCTCTAATAATTGGCATCACAACACTTAACCAAAAAAATGATGCTTCAAAATGAGCATTTCTTGAGGTTTAATGAAACATCATTTTATTCAAAGTAGTGATGCTTGGAAGAGTAGTGCTACGACATTTAATTTCTCAATGTTAAGGAGCTCAATTAAATTTTAACTCACTCTTATTTTATAAATTTATTTTATAACCTTAATTATCGTATTAAAACAAATTGCAAAACATTATAAAAAAATAACATATGAAAAATGATTTATGCAAATTGAAACAAATAATATTACACGCTAAATGTAAATTATGCTTGGCTCCCGTACAGTGCTAAGTTTATACTCTTCAACCAGTCCTGAATAATATTATTAGTTTGGTTGTGGTACATTGCTACACATCTTTAATTGATTTTGACTTGGATATTATTCTTTTTGCTTGACTAGTAAAAATTGACTAAGCAATATATTCTTATACTCCTATTTCTCTCTTAGGATTTATCTCATCAATAGGCCTACAAAATTCATTAGTATCATTTCCTTTATTAATTTATATCCTTTTTCAAATGATTTAACATTAATGATCCTCAATTACAATATATATGATTACTCTAGAAATCCTACTAATCCACTATAAAATGTTTGAATAACATACTGATTAGACAAAGCATGGTGAGGATATTTTCTAAGAATTTCTTTAAATCAATCCCAACTCTCATAAATTGATTCTCCTTCAATATCGCTAAAAAAAGTGACATCATTTTTAATTTTGATAGTCTTTGAAGGTTGAAATACTTGCAAGAAACTTATGATCCAACTCATTCCATATAATTTAGATCCTAGGGGTAAAGATTTCAACCTCATCTTAGACTTACATCTTAAAGAAAATTGGAATAATCTAATTTTATTTCATAATCAATAACACTTTTATACTTCAATGCTGCACAAATTTCAAACAAACTTGCTAAGTGTAAATTAGGAACTTCAATCGGAGTTCCTCCAAACTAGGAATTTTGAACCATTGTAATTATGGAAGGTTTTAATTCAAAATTATTAGCATTGATTGTATTAATTTTAATTCTCTAATGAATTACTTCAACTAAAGGGTTATCAGAATCTTTAAGAGATCAAGAATGATGTTGATCTAATATAGGTTCAACCATGTTCACAATCTTTATGTTTTTTCAAAATTTTATAAGGGTTTTTCTATTTCAGAGTCAAAGAACAAAGGTTTCTTTATAACATAATAAATCTTGATACCATGAATATGCAATCAACAAATAAAATAAAATAAATAAAAGTTACAAGTAGGTTTAATTAATCAATTAATCCAACTATATTGTTAATATTATAAAAGCAAAATAATTTCCCTACCTTGATGCCAAAAACTTGCGGAGTGGTCATTTAATTGTAAAAAAAAAAATCTTAGTCTCTATAACCCCTAAATATTGCTTATGTTTTGTTTGATATAAAAATAATAAAACCTCACTTAATATACACAAGTATATATGCTGAATCAAGTAATAAAGGAATAGATTATTACATATAACCCATGAGGAAGTATGATGCTTGTGAAAAAACTACTCCTATTTATTATAATTAAAATAATTATCCTACTTAAAAATGATATTTTATAGAGATACTATCATTGAATAAAATAATAAAAATATTTAATAAAATTTTTAATTAAAGTATTTTTAATTGAAGACTATAAATTGCTTATCTTTCCTAAAGAAACTTAATTATATATATAATTTATAGCATATGAATCCCTAGATCACTTTCAAGCTTGTAGGGGTAAAAAGATATATGTTGTCCTGCTACAGTTACAAAATCTCCTAAAGAACCTAGAATATTTACATCCTAAATCTAGGCATGCGAGCATCCTACTTTAACATTCCTTGTTGTCCATGCATTCCTCCATTGAGGTTATTCATCACAATATATTTTAACTAAACATATGGCCATTATATGAATTAAATAAGGGGCATGATAAAATTGAAAACAACTTTTAATAGTTACATAATAAGAATCCTCATTAGTACATAACATGCACTTTACATCATCAATCCAAAATAACAGAATTAGCCAGACATAGAATGAATAAAAAGAAAACTCATTTTTATTAAACTCAAAGAATAAAAATATAAGAGACTAATATCATAAGGAAAGATCAACATACCTCATTTACACTCATTTATTTAATTTATAGAATTGCTTCAAGAGATGTGCTAAATACTCCAAGTAATTATATCTTGTACTTGCTTAGCTTCCCTTAGATTTTACTCTAAAAGGGTACTAGATCAGTACTCCAAAAGTTATTGAATTTAACACAAGTGACTGGACTCCCTTACAAATATAACATCACAAGTATCTATAGGAAAACATAAAAGGCATCTATCACGAGGGTGTTTGAAAACATTGCAATATGATGCCCTTCATTAGAACTAATGCCTCAACACTAAAAATTTTACACTATTATGATGCTTTCTAATATAGATTTATTTCTTAGTGAACAACCACATCACTTCACTGATAGAACATGTCCCTTGGAAGATACAACAGCAATACCATAACATTGTTGACATTCGAGTGCTACAACATCGGAGTGCAAAAAATGGTGCTAAGGCATGAAAAGTTATGTCATTGTAGTATTTGAAACTTGAGAATCTAGCACTACCATGCTGACTTTATAACACCATGATCCAGGTAATGCTATAATGTTGGATGTGTTTATCTCACCAAGCATGCAAATAAATAACCAAACATCATAATGTCCAATTTATGGCACCTCATTGATTTAAAATATGGCTCTATGACATTGTTTCATTAGACACCATGGTATTGTAGGATCCATAAAATTTTCTTCCATTTTTAGGCTTTGTTACACAAAAAATAAGCAAAACAACACATTATCACTATAAATAAAACACATAAAATAATACATAATTTACACTTATTAAGCATCAATTTTATTCTTCAAGCTATGTATACAAGTAATGCATATAAGTCTATATTAAGGAAGGGGGCCTATGTTATGAATCTATTTTCAGGAAATATAATTTTGATAATAGCTAAAACTTTTACTTCTCTATGACTGCCTTGCCTACTAACATTTCAGGTCTTCAAGATTAAATGGCAATTTGAACCAGCTCCAGATTAGGTAGACTAGCTCTGAGTTAGTTTGTAATATTTTCCTGTTCTTGAGTCAATTATAAACGGTGTAGTTCCTGATGCTTAGTAACCTAGCACACACACTTGGGGGAAATTTCTGAATATTTTTGGAGTTCTCTATTTTTTCTCACATCATTTTGAACGATCACAAAATCAGCCTATACGATCAGTTAAAAATTGAAATACTAATTAGGGCATCCTCGTTAAGGAAGCCATCATTAAGCTCATCATCGTGGTCGATATTTATATCGGCCGGGATGATAGGCTCAAATTAGAAAGAATCAGAAGCCAGGTAGCTTTTATTTTTCAACATTGCCCTGGATGATGCAACATAATCAAGCCTAAATTAATCTAGTAATTAAGAAAAGTAATTAAGGTTTGATTGCTTGATCATATCATCTGTGACAATCGTCGGAATGGCCGGGATGATCAATTAATAATCCTTAGTTATCTCTGGATGACCAAATATCTGCCAGCTTTTTTTAAGGCGATGCTATGGAAAATTTCTATGAATTTGAACTAATCGTCCAAGACGATCATGAGATCAGCCTGAACGATCAACTTATTTTTCCATCATTTAGATATCCATTCATTACAATTGTTTGGATGATATTCAATGATTTGAACTAACCGTAAAGGATGATATCCTATCAACCTTAAAAATATGAACAGAATCTTCTAATCATCCCATATTGTCCTAGTTAATTGAGCTTAATTCGTTCAGTTCGTACAGGTTGATATTTATATCATCCTGGACGATAAAGTCGATTTGTTGTAACTAAGAGCTATTACGAATCTCTTCTATATAATACCACTTGTTCTACCCAAGAGATCATCTTTTGCTGTTATTCTGACCTGAGAGGCCCAAGAAGAGAGGGAGAGCAAGGGAGAGAGAGAGAGAGAGAGAGAGGATCTTATGAGGGCGAGTTTATGAGGGGTTTCACAAAGGTTGCTCCAAGAAAGGATTCATCATCATCTTCTCCAGTCATCATCCTTAGTTTTGTGGGGGTTCTAGAGAGGTCTACTTCAGCATATTATCAAGATTCTCTGCCTGTTTTAGGAGGAAGCAAAAGAAGTTGGGTTCTCTGTCTTCTTTTGGAGGAAGCAAAAGGAGTTGGGTTCTCTGCCTCACCTAGATTAGTGGAAAGGAGGTTTATAAAGGCATCTCTATCTTTTTTGTGGGGGTGGGGGGGGAGGAGAGACACTGAGTTTAGTGCAATACTTGGAGGGTACCTCCGGGGAGTGGACGTAGGTTAAGTTGACTGAACCACAATAAATTTCTGTGTTTTTTATTACTGCTTTCGTATTTAATTTCCGTATATTGATTTCTGTGGTGAATCTTGTTTTTTGTTTTAAGATTGTGTTTTTATTGAAATATTTCTTAAAATACCATTTCAATCCTCCCCCCCCCCCCCCTCTTGGCGAGCCTTGGAACTAGTTCATAAGAGCTTAATATCTCTGTCAAACTTGAAAGTGGCATCAGAGCTACATCAAGTGGTATTAGAGTGAGATTCATAAAATTTAGTTTTTGAAAACTTTTTAATTTTGATTCATGGATAACTTTGGTAATTATAAAACTACATAAGGATAATATATTATATGACCACCTTCACTTGATAATATTCTTTTTGATTTTTCGAAAACTCGCATGCCTACATTTTTACAATCGCTTGATTAACGTATGTGGATGCATATTAAAGAAGGTTATACACATTTTCTCATGAAATTAATGGCATTAAAAATAAACTTCCTTTTACTGAATGGACTTTTAATGAAAGAGCTTTAGCACAACTTAATGCAAAATGCTTGAACTATTTTTTCTGTGTTTTAAAATTTGAATATTATATGTGTTTTTCAACCTGTGTAACATGTAAAGAAATTTAAGATATATTGTGTGTAACTTATAAAGGAACCAATGAAGTTAAACAATCTAGGTTGAATATTTTTTGTTGCATGACTACGAACTTTTTTGTATGAAATCTATTGAATTAATTTCTGACATGTATATAAGGTTTACTCAAATTGTCACCTCATTGCATGCTTTAAAAAGAGCTAACTAAATATGAAATAATCAATAAAATTTTGAGATGTTTGCCTTCTTCTTTTGATGCTAAGATCACTATAATTACTAAATCCAAAGATTTAAATACTTATTATATTAATAATTTTCTTGGATCACTCATTTCTTATGAGTAAGGGGTGAATCAAAGAAATCTTGATGTAGGTGAGAAAAAGAAGGAGAAAACTATGATACTGAAGGCTAATAACACGGACACTAATTCTTTCGGGTCTGAAAATGATGATGTTGCCTTAATCACTAGGAAATTTAAAAGCTTTTTAAGGAAGAACAATAAGTATCATCAAAAGTGGAAAAGAGGTAAGGATAGCAAAAATTATTAAAGTTCTTCTAATATTGTTTGCTTTGAATGCATGAAGCCTTGACATGTTAAAGTATATTGTCCAACACTTAAGGAGAATCCAAGCAAGGAGAAGGGTGAGGAGAAACCCAAATATAGGAAGGATATGAAGCAGCACCAAAAGCTTTCTAGGTGGATTCTTCATCTGACTCTTTTGAGACTGAAGCTGAAGAAGACATA